AATAATAATAATAATAATAATAATAATAATAATAATAATAATAATAATAATAATAATAATAATAATAATAATAATAATAATAATAATAATAATAATAATAATAATAATAATAATAATAATAATAATAATAATAATAATAATAATAATAATAATAATAATAATAATAATAATAATAATAATAATAATAATAATAATAATAATAATAATAATAATAATAATAATAATAATAATAATAATAATAATAATAATAATAATAATAATAATAATAATAATAATAATAATAATAATAATAATAATAATAATAATAATAATTTAAAAACCTTGTCAAGTGCCTTTCTTTACAGAGGCCAGTCCTCTATTAGAAAAACTGTCAGAATACAGTTCTCTGGTCCTTCAGTCCAACATAGAGAACCATTAGAAAGGAAGGACAAGGGTCTTAAAGTGTCTTGTCAACAATGAGTACCTGGCTAACAGACTGAACAGGTAGATCAGTTGCTTGCTCACAGTCTTCTTCACTTATTCTTCAATTACTATAATGATTTCCACATTTATATATCTATGTATGCAGTAACTGGAGGGTGTTTTTGTTTCAGCATTATTTTGAAGAAAATTGGTCTGATTCTGTGGGCACCCCTAACCTGAACTGACTTTGAATCTTCTCTTCATTAACAATTCAGTCTCAGAGACAGCCAGGGATCTACACAGTATATCTGCACAATAAAATAAAATAAAATAAAATCAGATATTTTCTGGCCATGCTCTTCATGAGATTAAAAAAAGAAAAAAGAAACAAGAATAGGGGAAAAAACAGTGCTTCGACTGACAGTTTTAGTTTCTAATCACAGTATCACAGTACCTCTAATCCCAGTGCTTTGGGAAAGAGATGATGGAATAATATAATGCAGGATTACTTTAGTCTCTTAATGCTCTTTGTTAGTTCTTTCTCCCTGGAGTCGGTACATTAGAAGAGTTTTTGTGGAATCTATGGGTCCTGGGAGAGTATAACATTGAGTGCTTTTGAGTAAATTTCTGCAAAGCTTAGAGGAATAAAAGCCTGTTGCATCAGAACCCTGGAATGCCAGAATACTTTGCTCCAAGGTATTGGAAATACAAACTACAGTACAAGTAGCTGCAATGGGTGAACATTATAAAGTACTGTATACAAGTTACAAGACCTGCAGAAACCACCTTCATATTCACGCATTGCTACATAAACATGTTCAATTGTAAGGAATGTTATGGTACAGTGACCTTGCTCGGTTTGATAGCTAGTTAATTGCTTTTAATTGCTGAACTGCTATTCAAGCCTCAATTCTATTTTCATGACTACTTTTGCTACACACAGCCCTTGTTTGTTAACTTTTCAGGGCTTCTTTTTTCTGTAGATACTTCTATATAAACAAATTTTCACATCCTGACAACCTTCTTAAAACTTATCTATCAAAGATAAACATAACCCTCCACTTCCCCCCCCCCCAAGCAAACAGTAAAGGCTACATATTTTCGAAGGCTTTCACAGCCAGGATCCAATGGTTGTTGTAGGTTTTGCAGGCTGTTTGGCTGTATTCTGGAGGAAAGTGGTGAAACGTTAGGAAGGAAAACCTCCAGAACACTGCCAAAAAGCCCAAAAAACCCTACAACAACTATCAGTTAAGGCTACTCTTGCACAAAGCCCCCCTGAACCAACTCATCTAAAAAAAATTCCCCTCAGAATGCACAACTATCTTTGGAAATGCCATTTAATTCAGAAAAATAAGTTACAAGCTGTTTTGTTGTTTAGTCGTTAAGTCGTGTCTGACTCTTCGTGACCCGATGGACCAGAGCACACCAGGCCCTCCTGTCTTCCACTGCCTCCTGGAGTTGGGTCAAATTCATGCTGGTAGTTTCAATGATACTGTCGACCCACCTCGTCCTCTCTTGTCCCCTTCTCCTCTTGCCTTCACACTTTCCCAACATCAGGGTCTTCTCTTCTCATGAGATGGACAAAGTATTGGAGCCTCAGCTTCAGGATCTGTCCTTCCAGTGAACAATCGGGGTTGATTTCCTGCAAAATAAATAAATAAAATTTATAGGTTTGTTCTCTTTGCAGTCCAGAGTCACTTCCAGCACCACAATTCAAAAGCATAAGTTCCTTGGTGGTCAGCCTTCTTTATGGTCCAGCTCTCACTTCCATACATTGCTGCTGGAAAAACCATAGCTTTGCCTATGCGAACCTGGGCGGCAAAATGATGTCTCTGCTTTTTAAGATGCTGTCAAGGTTTGTCATCGCTTTCCTCCCAAGAAGCAGGTGTCTTTTCATTTCGTGGCTACTGTCACTATCTGCAGTGATTATGGAGCCCAAAAAAGTAAAATCTGTCACTGCCTCCATATCTTCTCCTTTTATTTGCCAGGAGTTGATGGGATCAGTGGCCATGATCTTAGTTTGTTTATTTTTTTATGTTGAGCTTCACACCATTTTTTGCACTCTCCTCTTTCGCCCTCATTAAGAGGTTCTCTAATTCCTCCTCACTTGCTGCCATCAGAGTGGTATCATCTGTATATAGGAGGTTGTTGATATTTCGTCCAGCAATCTTAATTCTGGTTTAGGATTCCTCCAGTCCAGCCTTTCGGATGACGTATTCTACATCTAAGTTTAATAAGCAGGGAGACAATATACAGCAATATACAAGCTGTTACCTCATCACAAATTAAAGGTTCATCGTGTACTACATTCTGGATTTTATGGGACTATCTTCCTTACATGAGTACTGCAAACACAACGAACTTTACAAATATATGTTTTTCTAAAATCAGAAACATGTTCAACAGTAATACAAGCATACCCCAAGTTGAGTGCTAGAAAGTATACACCTTTGAGTTCCATTCAGCAATACTGTGACACAAGAGAATTTGCTTCTAGAAAAAAAAAATGAAATAATGCAAATATCTCTTTAAAGCAAAATGAGTCAGGAACAATGTCCATGCCCTCTCCTATTCTCCCTCTCTCCTTCTAAACTGAAATTCAGAATTGCAGTCCCTTCCTAATATATCTCTGCACACTGGACTCAACCAAATTGTCTATACAGGTTACAATAGCACAAAATAGTATGAGTATACCCAACTCTATCTTTCCTTTCAATCTAATTCCAAGGAAGTTCTAAGCAGGTGTTTTAGTGCCAATAATGAACTGGATGAAGGTGAATAAAGGCAGATCAGGGAATAGTTTCAGTTTTCACTCACCCGAAAAAGATGGTGGCATTTGCAGTTAAAACTGGTGCACCAGCTGTGTCCATTCCTGGAAACATCTGATCTGACCATGGTGACACATACCTTAGTTACAGCTGTTTGGATTACTGTAGCACATTCTACACAGGTCTGACTTTGGAAGATGTTCGGAAACGTTAGAAGGTCCAAAATGCCATAGCCAAGTTGTGATCTGGAGCTGGTTACTGGGATCATATAACTTCCATGTTGCAACAACTCTTAAGGATTGCCAGTCTGTTTTCTGGCACCCTTCAAAATGCTGATTTTGATCTATAAAGCAAAAAATGACTTGGGTCTAAGGTATCTAAAAGACCACTTCTCTTTTGATGACCTGTCTTGGTTTCTCTCAGTCCTGCCACCCTCACAGGTGCATATGATAAGGACACACAGGAGGGCCTTCTCTGTCGCTGCTTCCGAGCTGGGGAACTCCCTCCCATGGCAGGCCAGGCTGGCCCTCTCTTTGCTGTCCTTTCGTTAAGCAGGCAAAGACATTTCTCTTCAGGCAGTTTTCTTCTCAGTAATTGGTTGCCAAAGAGGGGGTTCTTAAAAACCAGGCTGCTGCATTTTTAAAATGAGTATTTAGAACTGCTTAAGAATATTTTGATCCATTAGTTTTTAATTTGATGTCTATTTAGTTCTCCTCAAATATTATAATAATGTATTAGTTGTTAGTTCTTAATATTGTTTGTTTTTAATTTTGCAAATGGCCTTGGGTCCTCCTGGGAAGAAAATCAGGGTATAGAATATTTTAATACATCAATAAATAGTTAAATAAAATCCCTGCACCTATTTGTCTTCTGTTTGACAAACCAAATCTAGAAAACCAAATGTTGTCATTGTAGGTTTTTCAATATGTTCAAAACCGGTGTATGTTGCCTTCTCATAAAACACAAGAAATTTACACATCTATTTGTTAACTTCCAATTACAATCAATGGGAGACTCAGTTATTTGGTTTTCTGAAGCAAGACACAGATGTGGACCTGAACTGGACTGGGCAGCCTCTACATTGACACAAGCTGAATTGGCCTGTTATTCAAATATATACTTGGAGTGGGAACCAAAACATTTGGCTAGTGAATATCTCTAGAATTAATGCATGCAATTTTTATGCACATTTGTGTTCTCTAATTGCCTTTTAAAGGATGATGCATACGTGGACATGCTAACAGCGAACATTTTTTAAAAAAAAATGTGTACACCACTACATTATCAATTAGATAAATTGTGACTTGTGATAGCATGTCTGAAAATTCTGAGATTCTCACAAATGTATATAAGACCTGACAGTAACATCAGCTGTTATTATTTATAAATGGTCATGTGTTTTAAGGTCATGTCCTTCTAGGCCAGGTGACAAGATTTCTACTCAAATAAGCCAAGGCATTGTCTGGGCTGATTTTTATATAAACTAATAAGCCAGGGATGCATCTAAGATAATGGCTAATATCTTGTTGCTTAGCACAGCAAGTTTCAGCTAGAGTAGGCACATTTGAATCAATGGAACAAACACAGGAGTTGGCTCACCAAATCTCTACTGCTTCAGTGGGCCTACTCTGGTTGCAACTTACTGTGCTAAGGAACAGGATTTCAGCCAAGGTATTTTAAATCTACCCTTTACAGAGGAAGTGAAGATCAAGGAAACACAAATGTTGTGACATCTTGTGAAAAACATTGTGAAATTATCTTTTGCTTCCCAAACATATATGGATGATATGTTAGTGGGCTTCCCCACATACTGTGACAATGAGTTGCCTTCTACACGGCCACAGAGTTCAGTGTTTATGTAAGGAAAATACCACAAGCTTTGCAGAGAACATTAATCTGAAAGAGGAGTGCCCAGAAATACATGCTACCGCCATGTGTTTATATCTTAGTACACAAGGTACCGATGGGCTCAACTAGGTGATCCAGAAGCAAAAGTCTAATGATTTACTCTTTGTGCCATTGGGGCAGCTCATTATTGATGCTGAGGAGCACTACCCTTAACAATGGCTGGAAAGAGTGTTGCAGCTCATTGTCTCGTTAAATCATGTGATATCCAAAATAATTAAAGAATATGCTGGCTTTCTAAAGCTACAACCTAAGACAAATTAGCTGTGTTTTTGGCCTACTTTGCTCAACTAAGCTATGTAGAGACCTTCCTGATAGTTCATCTTGCCTAAATAATAACAATTACTGAGCTACTGCTTCTCAATTACCAGCAATGACAGAGATGGACTAATGATCTGTCTCATTATACAAGTGTATAAGGTTATATGTTACTACAGCTGGCTGAAAAATATATTAATTAATTGCATGAAAGTATATTCTCACATTTCTGTACAATGTGGGTGAGAACTGCTCCTTTTATTTGTCTCTGACCTGCTGCCAGGGAAAGAGGTCAGTGAAATAAACTTGGTTCAAATTCTAGTTAGGTTACCCAAAATTAATGCTAAAACCTATTTTCTCTAGGTGTACATAATTTTAAAAAAATACATATTTGCAGTATATTTCCCTTCACTGATTGCGCACTTTAAAAGAACAGAGCTGATTTGTTTTTGGTCAGAGAGAAGTCTATTTTATGTTCTGGAGCTTTCTGGTGTGTGTATATATGTTTCTTTGTTTTGTTTATTAAAACGTTCTCGAAAAGGGCCTATGATTTTTCATAGAATTTTGACTCAGTCTGGCAACTCTACAAAATGTATGCTAGAGTAGGTTTATTGAGCAGAGTTATCTACTCACAAAAAAGAAATCCATCAATAAATTACCATAACAGGATTTGGAGATTAATCCTTCCTATATTAAATCTAGGCAGTGTTCCTCCTATTCTATGAATCTAGGGTTCTTGTGACCGGGGCCTCTTGTTCACTGCAGTTATCCATAATCTGCCATGAATGTTAGATCAGATAACTGCCTCTAGGGAAAACATCAGAAGCCTGTGTTCATCACAGCTGTCATTACTCCTATAAAGGGTTAACTCTATAATGAAACCAAACAATAATTAACAATCATATCAAAATTCATCTGAGTATCAAGGTATAAGCCTTTTCAAGCCTGGTTGTGTAAAACATTCATCACATGATGAATCACCAAGGAAGATGATATCTTCATTTTTTAACAGCAGTGGCAGTAAATGGGAAACAGATTATAATCTCCATGTAAATGCATTGATAGTAGGTCACCTGAATCCCCTCTAAGCATACTTCTAGGCTGAAAATAATGCTTGTTTTTCTTTTCCTTTTTTCTTTGGGAGATAAAAAACTTTAAAACCATTTTTGTTTGCCTCTCGGTGGATATAGATTGATTGGATTCTGGAACAAGAATACTTTGAGAAGCTCAAACACAAATTTTGTCCTACAAGTGTTCACCGAGACTTAACTTTCAGAAGTTGTAATTTAGGTGGGTAACGTAGCATCCACAGGATTCCTAAGCACCTTTTCCACACCAGAAAATATGGGCATATTAAAATTTGCCTCAGGAGTGTTAAATCTTCAAGTACTAGTTATGGACATTGTCTCCTCACCTCCTCCATTTTGTCAGCTTGAATTACAAGTGAGTCATTTCATTAGAAGAATTATTATATGGGAATGATGTTCAGAACATTAATGGCTTATACTTAACCTCTATTACAACCCAGAATCAAATTAAGCTCCTTCTCTCTCATATAAAAGCAGCTAATGTGTTTTTCATGTAAAATCATGAAATGTCCTCATATTTTCTCTCACAGATACTGTTACATAAATTTAGTGAAATAGTTCTCTAGAATATGTATGTATTTGGTTTCAGCACAGGAATATATTTGAGATTGCATGGTACCAGTAACAACAACAACAAATGGGGAAAAGCCCACTAAATAATTCTGTATCTGTCAGATGTTCCAATGAAAAGAATATGTAACACTGTCATTCCTCCATACGACTTGAGAAACAGTGCATCAATATCTCGAGGATGTCATTTTTACCTCATATTTTGATATTATGTTCTGTGAGGGTGGAAAATTAAGACTGCATTTCAACTCATCCATTCTCCAAAACCATGTGTGCACATTCAAAAGCATTAAAATAATTGACAATATGGATGTAAACTTCATGGGTGAATGGACATTTAATCTTTGGTAAACTATAAAGTAGATCTTATCCCACTTCTGTAATGAGTGAATGCCTGAAATTGTACAAAAATCTGCAAAATTTTCTACAAAAAAGTAAAAATATGAATATGTTCAGTTGCATCTGAAGAAACTGACTTAATATCCAAGGATAATTATGACAAATAAAACTTTTTAGGTGCCAGGAATCTCTTTTTTGTTTTAGCTGAATGGACTAACATAACTACCACTCCTGAAGAAGGCCACAGCTAAAACGTGTCAAGCCTGAGCTTTTTAAATAAAAATAAAGTTTGCATTGTCAATATTTATATACATCCTGAGACTCAGTCTCCCATTTGTACTTTTGCCAGAAGGAAGTGAGGGAAATAGATAAGCGGACCTCCAATGGGAGGGAGTTCATAATCTGGGAGCAGCCACAGGAAAAGTCCTCTCTCTGATCCTAAGCAGTCATGCCTGTGAGAGTGGAGGGACCAAGAGGAAGTACTCCCCTGAGGATCTTAATATGACTGGGACCTTGTATAGGGAGATACAGTCTTCCAGATAGCCTGGGCCTAAGCCGTAAAGGGCTTTAAAGGTCATGACTAGCACTTTTAATTTCGGAATCCTATGTATTTCTTAATATGATATTTAATCCATCAGTCATCCTGCAAACTGTACCAATTATTTTCTCAAATAAGTATTACACACGCATGACTATAGTCTGAAACCTAGACGTTGCAGTTTCCATAAATTCTGCGTTTTCATAAGCAGACAGACTGTGTTAAGGCTTTTATGAGAAAATATGGTTGAAGACAGAGACAGCTGGCATTTAAATTAGCCAAGTGAAAGGAATTACTCTTATTCATTCACCAGATGCTTTTATTCATATATAAATTTTTAAATTAATAATTCCATAATACTATGCAATCCGTGCTGTTTTGCTCACTGACCTTAACAAGTTTTGACATCTTTTTTCATTACTTCCAAAGAGTACCGCACACTTTGCCAACTTCCATTTTGATGAAATAGCCTAATGGGGGGAAGGAGCAGAGCCAGCCAGTAAGTTGTGAAAAGTTTAGTAAGCTATATCTTCTGCCTTCAGTTTAGGAATCTCATCTATAAATGATCATCATATAATATGCTGCTTGCAGTCTTTTGTTCAATATTTTGATACTGTACATCAACAAGCATTCTTTATTCTCTCTATGGTGTTGTCCCGACTCCCAAACTGCCAAACGATGTGTATAATTTTGGATGTTTCTACACTGTTAAATAGTACAGCTCTGATGATGTTGTGACATGCAAATAAATGATACGTCATTCCAGTCCTGGAAAAGTTCTGGCCATACCACACATGGTCATTGTCTGTGACTCCTCTACTCACTAGTTTCTTTGACTTTTAGTTTTTAAAGTATATTGATTATTCCACAGCCAGCTGCACACAATAAAGGAAGAATAAGTTAGTTTGCATTTAGAATGGACCAGCCAAGGGACACAAATTTTGCAGCCTTTCATTCTCAGGCAGAAAGTAAGAAGGAAGGAGAAAATTATGTGTTCCCCACCACCACCTGAGAGTTCCTTGTATGACATCCCCCACTGATATGTCTCTCAGCAGGATTTCTTGGATGTTTTACTGCCATTGTCTTCTGGAAGAAATACCAAGCAGCACTGAATTAATTCCTACATGGAGTGGCTCCTTTCCTGACTGTGATTCATCTGGAAAGGTCAGAAGAAATATCAGACTCCACAGGATTGTAACAATTCTGTACAAAATGGCCCTGTGCAGGGTTTGCCAGAAGGGGCATTGGACTGCCCTAAATTTAGCATTTTCCTATACAGAACAACAGATGGAGATTGGGGGAAAAAAGATAATAGGGAAAGCAATACCATTGGTTGATTTTCACAGGAATCTCTTCATGTGTCCCTGACATGTGAGTTATGACAAAATGAAGTCAATAGGTTGCACATGACTCCCATATATACAGTGGTGCCGTGCATAGCGACGTTAATCCGTTCCAGTATTAACGTCGCTATCCGGAAACATCGCTAAACGGAACTGAAAACCCCATAGGAACGCATTAAACTCCGTTTAATGCGTTCCTATGGGGGATAAACTCACCGTTAAGCGAAGTTTCCCCATACGGCCGCCATTTTCGCCGCCTCAGTAAGCGAGGGCAGGGCGCGAAAATGCTACGGGCGACCATTTTCTTCTTCCGGTAGCCATTTTGGAACCGCCAATCAGCTGTTTCCCAAACATCGCAATGCAAAGATCGGTAAGCGAAACGTTTACCGATCATCGCAATCCAATGTTTGCCCATAGAAAACATCGCAATGCGATTGTAAAAACGATCACAAAAAACGTGTTGCTATGCGGATTCGTCGTTAAACGGTGTGCTCCTTAAGCGAGGCACCACTGTATATATGTATGTATATCTCTTTTGAGTGGGGGGATGATGCCTTCCAGTGTCCACCAAGGCTCTTCAGAAAATTGGTTTTTAAGGTGCTAAATCTACAAAAAACTTTAAGAAGGCCAAAAATAATACTTTTCTTTCTTTTCCTTTCCTTTCCTTTCCTTTCCTTTCCTTTCCTTTCCTTTCTTTCTTTCTTTCTTTCTTTCTTTCTTTCTTTCTTTCTTTCTTTCTTTCTTTCTGGGGTAGTGGTGTCAGTGTGAAATTAAACAAGAAACCTTGAATTACCACTTTCTTCCCAGGGACCTCCCCAGTGTTTTTCTTACTTAAACCTTGGTTGTTGTTATAGAGGATTAGGCCTTTTGTTATTTAAGAGACTAAATTTGATTTTTTTATTAAGAGGCTTAAATCAGAGGGATTATTAATCATCAAAGTATTACGGACATGCAATTCTCTGGTTCTGCTGCTTTCTTAATAAAGTAGGTGTGAATTGATACTTACATAAAAGTAGAAATCAGTGAATGAATTTTATTCAATACGTTGTTGATTAATGAATTATCCCAAAGGAATAAAGTTAAATGTATTCTTGAAGGCTTTCATGGCCGGGATCTGATGGTTGTTGTAGGTTTTTTGGGCTGTTCGGCCGTGTTCTGGAAGTTTTTCTTCCTAATGTTTTACCAGTCTCTGTGGCCGGCATCTTCAGAGGATGGGAGTTAGAACTCCGACTGTGTTGATTTTCTGTGTACAGTTGATTTTCACAGAATGAGGAATATGTAGTGGGGGGGAGGTTGAATAAAGTTCTAAATTTTTATGACATTATTTTCAAGTCTTCAATTACTGTTATCTAGGTTTTGATTTTTAAAAAAATCACAATTCAGTTAAAGGAAATTAGCTTATTAGGCCTTTTGGCCACTCCACTTTCTATTTTATGCTCCCTTAGAAGCACTGCCCCAAAGAAGAATCTAGACAATGTGATAAATGTCCTCAGCCTTACTGAAGTCACCCACCTCTGCTCTAAAAGTTAATGAATGCTTCTGAGTGCCTTATAAAGAATTCAATCATTATTCCATTGAGCCCAGTAAATGTCTACAGTACTCTAACTGGAAGCAGATCTCCAACACTGGCAGCCCAAGATTTCAGAAGGATGAGTACCTCATTTGGCTCCTTCAGGATAAACTCTCCCTCCTGACTAGAACACAGACCAGTACTGATCTCCACATGTGTCTCCCACTGGCTAACTCAGAAACTTTAAAGTGAAGCTCTCCAGAAAAGGATTTCTGCATTGAAAGCCACTTCTAGTGCAGGATGGTGGACTAGACTGACTGTTGCTATTTTCCAGCCAGGGTCTTCCAATTTCATCCAGTGAGGGAAGTTCCAAGTGGGATAATGCCCAATCCTCATGTTAGAACAATACTGAGCTTTGAACACAACAAAGACAAGTTGAAATTTATAGCTAGATTGTTATGTTTGCAACAGTGGGAGATCAAAACTTTCTTGATATCTTAGCCCAAACAGTGGCTATTTCATGCAGTAATTCTGTAGTTTCAGTACCTTACCTGTGAGAACCAAATTTGATTACACTGTAGGCTGTCTGCTCCTCCCCTATATATACAAGACTTTAAGATCTAGTTCAGTGATGGTGAACCTTTTTGAGCCCAAGTGCCCAAATTGCAACACAAAATCAACTTACTTATTTCAAAGTGCCAATACTGCAATTAAAATCTGAATGCTGAGATTTTAGTTTAGAAAAAAACAACAACTGTTCCTGCACTACAAGGGTTAAATGCTTGCTTCCCCCCCCCCCATGGGCGGTATTAACAAATAAATACTTACTGGTGCGGCAAATCTGCCTTCCAGTGGTAGGGAGTTCCAAAGGCTGGGAGAGTCTTTGAAACACAGCTGCATCTTTAATAGTGCAGGGATGGTGTTAAAATAATCATGTTTCCAAAACTTAGATTGTTTTCTTAATAGGCTCCTTATAAAATCTTTTTCATGGCAAGGACAAGAAAAAATGTCCAAAAAGGGGCAAAAAAGGATCAAAGGCTTCATTGTGTGACTGTGCCCATCCTTATTCATTTATTACTTTCATTTTTCCCCTAGCTCAGGGCTTAGGAATGTTCCTTTTCCTGCAAATGCTAGAAGATAACTTTTTGGAGCACCAGCCTAGAATCCTGTCAGAAATCCAACATGGTGAGATTTAACAATCAGAGGGATTGGTGACAGGGGACACATTAATAGGCCGCAAATTTTAAAAAAATCATGCAAAATGCAAGCTTTTGTGGATGAATCACATGATCACAGGGACAGTTGACATCATCTTCAGGACTCAGCCAATCCCGAGGGTGCTGCTGCTGCCTTGGGAACCCAACCCCACTCTCCTGGGTCTTTGTGAC